TATTTCTGGGATCGACACCTTTTATATATGGATCGACACTTTATGGTTGCACCCTGTTTGCCATTCATTCTGGACCAATAGTATCGACACAAAATTAAAAAGTGACGATACATATATTACACCTATTCTCTCATAAATCCGATATACTTATACCGGTTAGATTGAAAAATTACCTATTACATTATACTTATGGGTTTCGATGTTTCTGGGATCGACACCTTTTATATATGGATCGACACTTTATGGTTACACCCTGTTTGCCATATTGTAAATTTACCTTTTGCTTTAAAGTTAATTTTGTAGTTATTGTACATACCCTCAATATGGAATGGCCATTCAGTCTCGCACATGATGACAATTATGATGACATTTGGTATAATACAGACAACAATCTCCATATATAGTAAGTATCAACATGACTCTTAATGTGTATAAGAAACATGTCATGTACAACAACCTACTGCTAACTTTTCTCATCTTATTCATAATTACATTCACATACAAAATTATAAATCGTATACAAAATTATAAATCTAATACAAAATTAACCCTACATTTACATCATTGCATCATTTTGTTATTCTTATGTCTCATGGCAGCTTTTGTTATCTCCTGTCTTCGTTGATTTTGATTGTGGCTTACGAGATCGTTTAATATTCGCGATCGATCCCACTCTCCAACAACCTATATTCAAATTGTCAGAACGTTAAGTATTGTAAACTACAGCATTCAATCTACGATATTTAACAATTTTACCACAAACGAATTTTTTCTTTCCACTTACAAAATCACCAGTTGCCCCTGTAGAACCGATCGATTCCATCCACATCATCACATACATGCCGCAATCATGTCTGTTACAAAATTTGAAAACCACACATGTCAATTATGATGAATCCTGCATAAATTAAAATTTGTAATCAATTTAAAGTTTATCGATACTTTAATCCAATTACCATTTCAACAATAATAACAAAAAGACATTGATACTTACTAGAAGTACATATATCCACCCTTTGGTTGCTTTCGAGTCTCGGCCTCAATTTCAAAGTCATATGCGCCACCAACAATTTTCCAACCCATTGACTCCATTTTTCCTGGCCTTTATATATCAGTTTACACAAATCAAATTATTTTGTTACATACACTTTATTCAATATACAAATATAGATAACTACTCTTGTGGTAAAACGGTTTTCTTCAAAAGAATTTGAATGGCCACTACAAAATGTGTCGGCACATTTATACAACCTATAATATCATTTTCTACCTATAATATTTAATAAAAGTATCGACATTTATATTTTTCCTTGAATATCACTTTCTACCTGCAATCGGTCTCAAATGCTTCTTTAGTCCAAAACCCCAAACAACACATAAAAACCCTATCGCGATTACTGTAATAATAAAAAATTAGGGTTTCGACAATATACTTTTCGATTCGACTGCAGCAACAAACAAACAAACTTTGCTTTAGAAACGCCTTCTGAAATGCAGCAACAATTACGCTTCGATTTCAAAAACTCGTCCGCTCTATCTATTTTCAGAGGATATTTAGCTATGACCTTTATATTTTCATCGGATATGTTATTTATATTTAATCGATACAAATACAAAAGTGTCGATACTTTTATGTCAGGTGTCGATACTTTCGAAAGGATAATTACGTATTTCTTTGAAAGTATCGATAATTTATTACACGTACTTACGAAAGTATCGACACTTTTAATATATCCGGTATCATTTTACCGGTTTTATCATTTTGATACCGGTTTTATCATATTTTTACATGTTATATCGTTGTTTGATCGATTTTTTTTAAGTATCGACACTTTATAGGCGCTAAAACTACTTCTCTTTTAAATTCACAAAGTGTCGATCCTTATATAAAGTTTCGACAATTTCAATATATCCGATAGCGTTTTACCGGTTTCATCATTTTGATACCAGTTTTATCATATTTTTACCTGTTATATCGTTGTTGATCGATATATTTTTTGAAAGTATCGACACTTTATAGGCGCTAAAACTGCATCTCTTTTAAATTAATGAAGTGTCGATCCTTATATTAAAGTACCGACACTTTAAATATATTTGGTACCGCTTTATCGGTTTTATCATTTCAATACTAGTTTTGTCATAGTTTTACCTGTTATATCGTTGTGGATCGATACATTTTTAATTTGGATCGACACGAACCGACAAGTTAAGTTTGCCGATTGCACAATTTTTTAATATTCCTTCATGACTTAGACCTACTACATTATTATTAGTCAACATTTCCAGTAGCACTAAACCAAATTTATTAAATATCTTTTAATATATCCGATAACACCGTATATTAACCCGCCGTTCTTGAAATATTTCCTGCCTACATTTATAAACATGTTGTAGGGCAAAGAGGGAATCCTACTTTATTACATAAAAGTAAGGGCAAAGAAAGGTTACGTGCATGAGTAGCCCAATTATAATAGCCATCATTTCCTACTTCCTTTTCTTTTTCAATCATATCCATTAATTTAATACTATAATAATCAATATTTTTAAAACCGGATCGAATATTGAACCGATAAAGGTACTGGTTCATTGGTTCACTTGTTTAATTGGATTCAATCGCGGTTGAATCGGATTTTATATAAAATAATTTTTTTTTAATTTTACATAATATTCAAAGCAATATTAATATATATGTAACACTTCTTTTAAGTTTACAATATTAAAATGTATAAAAATATCACAAGTCATAACATATATAAATTAAAAACCATAAAATCAAGTGAAACAAAATGATTCAAATCAACTACAACATAATATTTAAGGTAAAACATATTAAATAATAAATATAATTATATAACTATAATAAAAAAATAAAATTGGGGCTTAAAAAAATCATAACAAATGATGTCATTTGGTTTAATTTTTTTTTTTAAATAATCTCACATGGCTAAGAAACATAGAAGAGCATCCCAAAAGTTTAAAGAGAAAATATGAGAACAAAACAATCCTACATAGCTAAGAAACATAGAAGAGCATCCCAACTTACTTCTATAAATAATAGAGGTAATTTAACATTCAAAATCATAGAGTTTTTGGTGAGCACAGAGCGAACTATTATTTTGCTTCAATTGAGCTTAAATTTTAGGCTTCAATCGAACTTCTAAATTTTTTTTTGAGTTCGAGCCTTTTCGAGTTCAAGTTTTAATATTATATTTCGAGTTCAAGTTGAACTTGATATTTTTTAGCTCGTGAGTTTTTTAGTCGAGTTGAGCTTACTTTTAAAATTTTCGAGTTCGAGTCGAGCTCAGCAATACTCAAATTTGACTTGGCTCGTTGAACAAACGACGTCGTTTGGTTTAATTTTTTTTAAAAGAAAAAAAGTGAACCGGCGGTTCAAACCGGTTTTGCTGGTTTTCAGTCGGTTCACCCCGATTTTACTGGTTTTCAGTCGATTTTACCAGTTTTCAGCCGGTTCATTGCCAACCCGATTTTGTGAGGTAACCGGACCGGACAGGCCATCGGTTCACGGTTCAACTGGTTGAACCGGCCGGTATGGTCCAGTTTTGATAACCATGATAATAATGCATGGGTCAGGATTAGTCTGGAATTATGTTTTGTGTATAACAGCCTAAACTAGAAATTTAAATGTTTTATTTTATTTTATTGTAATGTTGCAGCAAAATCTAGATATGGAGAATAAAAATTGTATCTGCTCACGTTGTTTTAATTATTAAAAATATACAATTATTGGTGGTGCTGTAATGTTTTTTTTTGTTTATTTAAGATTGAATTTTGAAATTTAATGTTAATATTAGATTAAAATAATATTTTTATCAACATATTATAAATTGGTAAATAAAGTTATCTTATTATTTTGGAAGTTTCGTTAATCTTAAATCATAATTTTTTATTCTTATTTTTTTCCAAATAAATTTTTAACTTTTCATTATTTTATCCATCCTACCAACCAAACTTAAAGGGAAAAGAGAAAAGATAAATAGAGTGGTTCATTTCGTAAATGTGGAATGTTAAGAACTTTTAGATGACTAGTTTATTTTATTTTTTGCCTTTTGATTTTAAGGTTTTGTCTTGATTAATTCGGATCGATCTACCTGAATCAACCCCTGTTTATTTTCATTGTTAATAATATTATTATCGGTTAAATATAAACTCTGCACGTTATTAACAGTACAATAGCCATGAACAGTCAGCAAGATGATTTGATTAATTAGTCTAATCATATGTTTATTTTATGAAAGACATCGACAGTATTTTCAAATTTAAGTTTTAACCTAACCATGATCTTCTCCTCACTATCTATTTTACTATCGGTTTCATAAAAACTTGTTATAATCTTATCAAATCTCCAATGAGTTGTTTTGTTTGAAATTTTAAATGTATTAGACTTAGATAAATGCCGATATTCGAACTCTTTCAATGTGAGATAACATAAGTATCATCAACCATTCAATCAATTAATAGATCTTGTTTTGTCCGTAATCTTTCAATAAATTTATTGAATATTAGTATGGTGCGTGCATGCATGGAGAATTTTACTATTTCCCGTCGTGGAAGCACACAGACACAGAGAAAAGTCTTAACGTGCGTGCCACGAGTTCTTAGTTGTGCTCAATTTTCAGCGCTCACTGTTTCTTTATCAATCCCGCTTGGACCACGTTTTTGGATGGTTTTGAAGTTAACAGTCTGAGAAGGGGGATTTCTGCAACGGAAGATAGCAGTGTTTCGAAAACGATAAAAGGCGGCCATTGACGAAACCTTACAAAAAAAAACACATCAACCTCCCTTTCAAAACCTTGTCTCTGTCTCTCTGTATTATTAAAACACACACATTGCCGCATTGCACACTCACCTTGCAGTTCAAAAAGATTCTCATCCAACTGGCTTCTCGACACCACTTGGAAACTTCTTCCTTTTGCATTAACATTTGCCAAACTCCATCTGTTTAAATAACTCTCTTCACAATCGACCTGTCTGCAATTACTCAAATTTCATATCAAATGGCTCGGTCCATTAACGTTCTATTTGTGCTATCGCTTTCTCTTAGTATCTTTTTGCTCCCTGAGACAGCATCAGCTCAACTAAGACGAAATTACTATGCTAATACTTGTCCCAACGTAGAATCCATTGTTAGAAATGCCGTTACTCAGAAATTCAGACAAACTTTTGTCACTGTCCCTGCAACTATTCGTCTCTTCTTCCATGATTGCTTTGTCCAGGTTCTTTCAAGAACACCCTTTCGAGTTTTTTTCTCCATGTTGGAGTGAGTTATTGAAGTTTAATCTTCGTGTTTTCTTGGCTTTTTCTTTTTTTCTCACTTAACAGGGATGTGATGCTTCAGTAATCATTCAATCCACAGGCAGCAGTACAGCCGAGAAGGATCACCCCGATAACCTGTCATTAGCCGGAGATGGTTTCGATACCGTGATCAAAGCTAAACAAGCGGTCGATGCAGTTCCTGGGTGCAGAAACAAGGTTTCTTGTGCTGATATATTGGCAATGGCAACTCGGGATGTTATTGCTCTGGTTTGTATTCCCCGTGTTATTATTATATTTTCAATCAATGTAAAGAAGAAACGGGTCATGATATGATGAAATGTGATGAAAATTGCAGTCAGGTGGACCATCTTATGCTGTTGAATTGGGAAGATTGGATGGGTTAAGCTCCACAGCTACTAGTGTCAATGGAAAGCTGCCTCAACCATCTTTCAACTTGAATCAGCTCAATTCTTTGTTTGCAGAAAATGGACTCTCCCAAACAGACATGATTGCTCTTTCAGGTATAATTAATATTAATCGCATGAGTGTCGGATACGAATAAATTTCTACGAATATAATATTTATGATTGTGATATGAATATCTGCATAGGAGCACAAGCATGATCTTTGGGTTTTACTGCTTGTTTTATATTTTTGCAGGTGCACACAGCGTCGGATTCTCTCATTGCAACAAGTTTTCAAACAGGATATACAACTTCAGCCGTCGAAATCCGGTGGACCCGACACTCAACCGGGCGTATGCAACCCAACTGCAACAGATGTGTCCCAGGAATGTTGATCCCCGGATAGCCATCAAGATGGACCCAAACACGCCCAGGACATTCGACAATGTTTACTTCCAGAACTTGCAGCAAGGCAAGGGTCTGTTTACCTCCGACCAGGTTTTATTCACGGACCAGAGGTCTAAGCCTCTGGTAAACGCATGGGCCACCAATTCAAATGCTTTTAACAACGCCTTTATCACTGCCATTACTAAACTCGGCCGTGTAGGTGTTAAGACGGGGAGGAACGGGAACATCCGTACAAGGTGTGATGCTTTTAACTGAGAATGTTTCTCAGAGGTATGAACTGTTGGTAGACAATTTTTCAGGGTTTGGGACAAGTATTGTTTAGCTTCTGATGAGATTACTTGGCACTGTAATGAGTTAGATAAGGGGTTTCATTTACATTGTCATAAAAGTAGCAATAAAAGTGACAGGGTGACGACAACAAATTAACGTTATCTATGGCTATGAAATTGTTAAATTAACAAAAAAATATATAATTTAAAAATAAAAAACAAAAAATTTCCAGTCTTTCATGAAGGAGCATTTATCATTAATGATCTCAGCTCTTATCTATAATTACAAGAAGAAGAAAAACTCTGGAAAAAAGTTTCAATGCTTCAGCTAAATCAAATGTTTGTTACTATCCTAACATAAATACAAGATAAAATCTTTCCTAAAACGAACTGACCTCAAATCTTGCCGATGAACCTTCAGTCATTCAAACTGAATCACTAATAGATAAACAATGCCTATAAGACGCATGCACTCATAGTAACTTTACATGCTAATTGATCCGAGTTATGGAAAAGTAAACAATACGGAAATCTACGAGCAGAGCTACATGTAAAGTGAATGAATGAAACGTTGCCTATAGAAATATGCTCACCATTACACTACCTTGTTTAAGATATCAAGTTAGAACCATTTGTCTCTTCCTTTCAAGATATGCAAGATAATAACACAAATGGTTTATATAAAAACCATTTCCTTTATGGTTTCATCTATGACCCCAAGCAGGTGAATCTCAAATGCCATAGAAGGGGCAAGCAGAAGAAAATAAGTGAAAAGCATCCAATCTCATGTAAGGATATACAGCTCCCTTGAAACAAATGATTTTCAAATTCTATTGGTACGGTTCCGATATAAGGAACCAAGTAGATTAAAGCTCAAATTACTAGATCAACAATAGCAGACCCAAAAACTCAAATATAGCCTTCATTATTAAAAAAAAATAAGTGTTCAATAAAGCAAACAGAAAACTATAAATATCAGAGTGAGATATTTGCTAACCTGTTCGTGACTGGTAGATTCCTACAAAGTGTCGATATAGTTGCATTTCACCATGTTAAAGTGTCGCGCCTCCGGAATCGATGCCTTGACCTATATACAATCTAATCAGATTGATCTGAAACCCTTGTAACTTTTATAATTATTTACTTCATCTGTTATATATAAATGGTACAACCAAGATCCATACGAGAATGGACTTTATAATTGAAATGTCACAAAATTGCTCATGATAGAACCTGATCCAATTCAAGTCATTGTTCACTCTTCTGAGCAGGAAGGCAAACCTTCTCAAGTTGTGTTGGCCAGTCTACTCCAAGAATGAGGGTATTTAGCTCCATTGCGACTTGAAAGTCTAACAGCGATGTAGAAATGTACCGACTTTGTTTTCGGGAAAATTGGTCATGTTGCATTGCATCCCATTCAAAGAGGCAATGGACCAATTACGACCTTGCTCGATAAGTTTCTCCTCAGATCTCGAACCAGCTAGTTCCAAGCATGGCGTTATCAATCTCTTCATGAAGATATCAAGACTATTGTTCAACACATCAGCACAATCTACTGAGATGTTTAATCCTTCCAACTCCCGTTCCAATCTCTTTCTCAAAGAGATGCTATCAGGCAGTACACCTCTGCAATAACAAGTATCAGAAGCAGATTCCAACCCGTTCCAAGGAACTCTCCGTATTCCTTTAGCATTAAAAGAGATGCCAAGCGGGGCTCTAACAGGACTCCTACTCTGAATGCTTGGACTTCCTGCAGCTTGATTAACCACTTCTCCATCCTCCACCGAACCAGGCGGTCGGCTACTCGATGAAAGTAATTCAGTAACAATCTGTTCTTGAACTTTAGGAGGCGCATCTCCACAAGCAGTACTATGGTTCTTCCCATGAGGCCCTAAAGGACTTGGGCGGTCCCTCAACTTCCAGTCTTGAAGATTTAGGGTCCGGCCTTTGCAAGGGGATTGAGAAATGTCTTTGCACAGTGACTGAAGAATATTTCTTTGAAATCTGGTTTCCAATTTAACACTTAAAGAACCTTCCAATTTGTTCTCTCTTGCTGGAGCAGTCTTTGAAAGTGAAGCATTTCTAATAACTGATCTGAGGAGGTGATTATGAAGAAGAACATTTTCTCGCCTTATTGTATCAATGCAGAGCCTATCGAACACGTGTTTTTCGATCTTAAGACTCAAAAATCTAGAAAGCAGATCGAAGTATTTCCCCACATTATTACGATCAATCTTCCTTTCAATCTGAGATTTCAACTGTAAAGTATCTAATCGAGAGAAATGCTGATCAGCGGGCATTTCAGTTTCCAAATTCCAAGTTCCTCACTATCATCCAAAAGCTAAGATTTCAACCAAAGAAATCAATATCCAGATATAGAATAAACATAAGTCTAAATCAAAATCACCAAAAACCCTAATGTCATCTATTAACTAGCAAATCAACAGATTGATCAAATTCAAACAGTCTCAAGTGAAATCACAACAAAGTTGCTAAATTCAAACAAGATGAACAAACCCCACATTAAAAACTACACAAAACAAATAAATGAACTTCGTCTAACTAGCAAATCAATTAAAAACCCTAAATCCACGAAATCTAATGCACTAAAAATCCCAGCGTTAATCATAAAACCCAGATAAGAAACAAAAACATTAAAATGGAATTAAAGCTATAGCTGAATTCAGTTGAGGTGAACTGACTTTAATAAAAAAAACAAATTGATCATTATTATTCCATTCGAAACTTGAGAAAGTTGAGAGAAAAGAGATAGGGGAAAGAAGCAAGTATGATCCTTTTTCTTGAGAAGCTTCTTTCGAAGTCAATATAGTCAAATGAACACGTGCGACAACAATAAACTGGATTCCTTCGTTTTAACCTCATGCTATTTTTTGCTCTGAAATCTTAAAAAAAAAAAATTAGATTTTAATTTTTTTATTTCTTTTTTAAGTTTTTTAAATTAATTGATGAAAAAAATAATAGACCTTTAAAAAATTTATACTTTTTATAGAATATGTTTTTATAAATTTTAATATTTTAATTATATGTTTAAACTTTTAAATAATTTTATGGCTTAATACAAAAATAAGTGATTAAACTATGCATTGAAAAACTTTTTAGTATATAATGTTTTCTCCGTTACCATTTTAGGTGCCTGTAAATCTCCATTAAGTAACATGTGGCACATTATATTAATTTTGAGAATTTTTTTTTAAAATAAAAATATAATTTTTTAAAAAATCAAATCATAAAAAACCCCAAACTTTTAAAACCTTAATTTTAATCCCTTTATCACTACCGGCCACCACCAACACCATCAATCGGACGAACACCCAATGACATATGAATAAAATCAATCGACCAAAACCACCCACTAAGAAAACTTCCATACTTTAGCAACCCTAAAATAAAATCTTTCATTTATATCATTTTTTGGTGTTTGATCGGTTGCGAAAGTATAGGGTTTTGGTCGTAGGTAGTTGGTTGGTGACACGTCGTTAGGTGTTCGATCGATTAACGGTGTTGGTGGCGGCTGGCGGTGGCAATGGGATTAAAACTAAAGTTTTAAAAGGTTTGGATTTTTTTAAGATATGAAAAAATTTAAGGTTTTTTAAATATATTTTTTATTTTAAATAAAAATTCTCAAAATATAATATGTATCACTTAACGATGATTTTTAACGGCGGTTAACGTCCGAGCACCTAAAATAGTAACAGTGAATAAGTTAAACACATATTTTTAGTAAAAAATTCTTTAAACACTAAAATATTTTTTAAAATATAATTTGGACACTATTTTTGTATTAAACCTAATTTTATTATTGTAATTTTATTTTGTTTTCACACAAAGGGAATGTGTGCGACAACTGTAAGTTGAATAGTTTTGGCTCTCGAACCTTAAAAATTATTTATTTTAAACTTTTTTCTTTCCATATTTTTTGGTCTCGAATATTTTTTTGTTATATTTAATTAATTAATGAATTTATATTTTTAAAATTACAAATATAAGATACGAGCATAATCATAATAACAAGATATACATATTTAAATACAAAAATAATTAATGTAACACACTGCAATACATCACTAAAAACAACATATCAAAATATACTACTAAATAATTTTTTTTTATTAAGTAAATATTAACAAAATACAAGGATCACTTTAATTCATTTTAAGAAATTAGTTTTAAGGGTAAACTATACGTATCAGTGGTCAATTTAATTTTAAGGGTAAACTATACGTATAACCACTTAATTGTTGTCTCTTTTCAGTTTGACCACTATTTTTTTAATTTTATCAATCAGATCACTTAATTATTTAAATGATGTCAATCAAATCACTTACTATTATATTTAACGTAAGTGTTGACGTTACAGATAATAAAATTGATATAATCTCACATTTAATCATTAATATTTATATATTCTACAATTTTGTTCCTAAGTTAAATTTAATTCAACAAATTTTTATTCAATCAAATAATGAAACATGTCACTTCTAATTGGATAGAAAATAGCTAAAAATGAATTGCACTTGTGGGAGTTTGAACTTGGATTCCCTTTATTGATGAATAATGCCCTAGTCGCTAAACCAAATGTCATTTGATTAGTTATTTATAACAACTATCTATTTCATAACATTATTAATGATAGAAAAAAATAAAAATAAAAAATATACAAATAATATTTAATTTTAAATGTTTTTACATTTTTTAACAATGCAAGATAAGTTTATTGTTTTTATATTTTTAAATTAAATTTATAATTTTTATATTTTAAAATTAAATTTATGGAAGAAGTCAAGTAATATAAAAAAATAAAAATATTTTAATTGGTATACCAATTGTTTTAGTTATCTTATGCTTTCTATTAGAAATTTTCTGGTGTGTTTATTACGTTCATTTTAATTTAGAATTTTTCTGGTGTGTTTATTACGTTCATTTTAATTGGTTTAATGCGTAATTGTTGTAGTTTGACATTAGAACATCTTTTAGTTATTTTCCCGTTGATTTTTTTTTAAATAATTCTTTGTCGTTGTTATCTTATGCTCATATAAAAAAATATAAACTTATTCTGTTT